TTAATAAATATAATAAGTTAACTATAATATAAAATATAATACATATTGAATCATTTGTTTAATATGATTTTATAAGATAAGTTATATTTATAAAATCTCGCAAAATAATTTATCTGTTCGAATAGTTTTTTATGACTCTTCTTCAGGTAAAAGTTGACTTTTCCATGTGTCAAATTTTTATTGGTTCTCATGGGTTGTCTCCTCATTTCCTAGTATCAATATCGATACGCCACTAGAAATATATTTAAGATAATAATTAGAATGTCACAAAGAAAAAAGAAAAGAAATCTCTGTGTGCTGTATAAAATATGTTTTTGTTATAGATATTGTAATTTAATTGTAGATATTCATAATCTTTTCAAGAGTTGCTTTTTAGCATTTTTCATTTAAAGTTAGATTTTTAGCATTTTTTTGATTAAAGTTAGATAATCTACAATATAAATGAATTCTTGAAAGTTTCCCATGATTAATACATATAATACCCAAATGTTATATATTCTATCATTAGTTGATTTATTATCTGTAACTCTTGTTATAGAAATTTAAGGACTCCATACCTCCAAACAGCAGGCATAGGCCAAATGATTATATACTTGACGAAGTGAATAAGATTCTTCTCATTTTCTCCCTATTTCTTTCTCTTATCTTTATGTCCATCATTTCAATTTCTTATATTTTTTTCATTTTTATAACACATTATCAGCATGACACTACTAAATTAGTTCCTGGCATAAATTCAAAGAATTTCATATTGATGTTTGTTGATTTTTGTTCATGGCATAGAGATGGTTTGTTTAGGTGGAGTGATAAAAATTCACAAATTTATTTATAATGAATTATGACCTTGCAATTTTAAAGAATATATGAATTTTACTTATTCATGACTTGTTAGATATTCATACTGAGCCTTATCGTGTTCTTACTTTGTACCCTTCTTATATTTCATATTTAATTTTTTAAAAGTTTAAGTTTTTTTTCTCATAGATGTGTAATATCATTTTAATATTTATTAATATTTTAAATTTATGTTATCTGAATGGCCAATAACCATATTATTTTTTATCTTGTAATTAGTAGCCAAAAGCTATATCACTTTTGATAATGATATTTTCTAAATATTATTAAAAATTATTGCTACAAATAATATATTCCTAAATGCTAATGATTCAAGTATTTCATGACATATAAAGCTTTGATACCATTGAAAATTATGTTTGCTATAGTCTTAAAGACTAATAACTTATAAAGAGTCATGTTACTGAAAGTAATAGTCTTGAATACTAATTAATATTTCAATTATCTGATTGGTTTCAAATATTAAAGCCTTGAAGGCTATTGGTTCAAGTATCAAATGGCACAAACGAGGTTATAGTTTTGAGAAATTTTTGCATGGTCCTGAAGACTAATATATTGAGAAGTTGAGGATGCATTATTGAAAGCATGAGATATGCTTATAGAGTGATAATGACCATGATCACATTGCATGAAAAAATTGACAATTGAAAGATCATAATATTTTGTCATGGCTATTGAAAAAAATATATCATGCAATAATTGTTGAAATAATAATATCGCTTTGATGATTAAAAAAGTTATCATGTTATAATTCGTAGAAGCCATCTATACCTGTCAACTCATTGAAAGTAAATGTTGAAATTGGTTATGAAGCCCAAGAAAAAATCATGAGATATTATTAAAAAAGCTTGAGAGACTATATGCTTCGAAGGCTATATGTTGTTTAATTTTTATTGGTGTTTAAATTTCTTGTGGTCAATTTGTGACAGAGAAATTATTATAAACATTTGATATTATGATATTAATAAGTATTCAAAGAGTGATGTGAAATCAAATAAATCAAAAATTCACTGTTGGTCATAAATTGAGATGTTAATATATTTTGCAAATTTATTTGCTAATATAAACTATGAAATGTGAATATTATTTGCACAAGTTTTAGACATTAATAATTATATATATAGGAATTAAATTCATTTTGTGTGTCTCTTAAGGCAAAGAAAAATATAAATTTATATTTTTTAGTTTTACACAAGAGAAAGTTATTAGAAATGATTAATATTAATTTTGACAATCATTTTTGTAATATGACCAAAATATACATGTATATAGAAAGCAAAATTCATGAATGTTTAAATAGTTGGGATGATTTGAAAGAACGTTATAAATCTCATATTTATTATTATTCCATATGATAATATTAATTATCTATATGTTAAATCTTATTTTTTGAAATAATAAATTTGCCTTGATGATTTTGTCTTCACATTCTTCTGTAATTTTCTTCATTTTATTTTAACCCCTAAACATCTTAAATCATTATACTTTGGTCTTTATATATTTTGATTTTAGATCTTATGTCTTTAGGTAAAAGAAGTAATATTTTTCCTCATATGAAGAGATCTTTGAAAATATGAGGTAAATGTTTTTAATATTTTATATCCCATGCTTAAAATATGCATAAAAACAAGCTAATTGAAGTATGTTATTAATCAACAATGAAAATATGTGTTATGCATTTAAGCAATTAATACATGAAAGTTCTTGAAAAACTATATATAGTTTCAGAAGAACTAATATGAGTTTTTACTTAAGGTCAGAAAAAAATTTGATAATGAAAATTGTAACCAATAAATCCATATCAGTCATCAGAGCTCTAGTTTTTGCGAAGGGCCTGAAGGTAATAGCTAGGGGTATTCAAATTATATCCATCCCAATTAGCCGAATATTGTCTCTATCATATCAGACGGCTCTTGCCTCTGCCTGAAAACAATTGGGATGAGATTTTGCGAGACGAGATGGGACAAGAATAGGTTTAGAGATGGGACGGGATACAAGATTACCATTGAAACATCCTGTCCCATCTTGAATATATATATATATATATATAATTTTAAAAACATATATTAAATATATTAATTATATTAATATAATGTATACTTATATTAATTATATCAATTATAATTTCAATACTTGAAATTCTTCTATAAAACTAAAATTTTTTATATTAATAATTTTAATGATATAGAGACAACTATGCAATATCTTTCTTTATATTATTACAATTTATTTTTATATCTATAAATTTAATAACTTTTTTTATATCGCATTTCTTGCTTTATTTTCGAAAGAGTAATTAGCTTTGCATATTTTAACTAAAGTAGAGGAACAATGAATTGATGTTGTATTTGATTTGCCTATTGTTGTTGCTCTCGTAGCTTAGAAATTGCTTGTAATTGTTATCATAATGTGTAATTGGGATTAACATAATTCAATAATTAATTTTAAATTATTGTGATTTATATACTTGTATTGTTTTGATTTTAAATTTAATAACTTATATTATTTAAAATTTTAATAAATATTATTATTTAGATCTTTTTCCAACATTATCTGATTTATCCGTTGTCCTGATTCCTACCAGGATAGGATGACTTTAGGAACAAAACGAGACATGAGATAAAAATTCAATCCAATCTTTTTTTTTGGATGGGATACAGGACAAGGGTGTTTCAGTCCTGTCTCGTCTCGTGAACATGTTACTATAACCTAGAATTTTAGTGATCTTAACAGATATATTGTTAGCATACTTTATTTGGTCATTTTGGATCATTTATATGATATAAAGAATTATTAAGAATATATATTAATATCCATTGAAGAACTAGAAGATTTTTTTACCAATAACCAACATATATATTATGCAATTAGATAATTAGTATAAGGTGCTTGTTCTCAAATAGTTCATTATGAGAATATCACTACTTCTAATTTGAATATTCACATTTCTAGAAATACATCAAATTATATATACGGCCATTCAAATAGCATGAGAACTATACAAGTATTTGATAAATTTGGTAGATGTATTTATAAGATGGTTACATATATGATTATTTTTAATTTGCAACCTTATTTAAATAAAACATTATAGTGAGTGCAAAATTTCCAAAGTATGTGATTTAAACCATTTTTGTTGAAAATTCTAGTGAATTTTATATCATGGCTTTGCAATATTGTACTTATGAGGAAAATAGTTGAAAAGCCTATTTCATAGAATGATCTTAGAGCTACACAAAGGAATGGATAAGACTAGACTCTGTCCTAATCTGAAGTCTAATATCTTTTATGAAAAGGATTGGATTAGGTGTAAAGTCCCAACTCAAACCGGACCTTACCATTTTAAATCACACAATCAATAAATTAAAATTAGAGTAATAGCCCTTTTATTTGTTTTCAAATCACAGGATCCTGACTTCTTAAAATATAATTCAAATAAGAGGACTAACAAAAGAGCAAACATAGTTAAACGACTCAATAAGACACAACTTTTCAACCTTGAAAAAGGGCCATGCATTGTAACGTGTACCACATACGCCACGGCATGTGGTAAAGAGCGACATGCTCTATTTTTGTCTGTATCATGCACCATAGTGGGTGCATTGTGTGCCGTGACGCATATGATAACTCAAAAGATGAAATTTTGCCATGTGCCATTTCTACGTCCAACATTTAATTGAAGTGATTCAAGCGCCCACACGAAACTTACAACATGTACTAACTAACGGAATAAGTTTGGAATCAATTTGACGGTTCGATCTAAAATTAGACATCTGGGTGTAAAAAATCACTTTTTTCTTTCAAAACTTTCATCCTAAGAGCTCAATTATCATTTCTTATCCCATTATACAACTTTGGGCCTTGAACCAAGTCTGAAAAGACTATATATACCTGATTGACACTACTAATCACATATACCATATCAATTGCCCATTTTAACCTCTCAATACCATATTACACAATTGTAAACTTATATGAGAAATACACATACAACACACATTCACATATATATAACTAGACTTGTTCTACTTTCAACCCTTTGACTCTTACATATGAGGCTTCGCTTCACCATATAGTCAGGAATCACAACATACTTGATTCTTTCAAATGGGGCCCTACCTCACCATTTGTGTTAAGTTCTCATATAGCAACGCAACTCATAATCAATACATAATCATCACATTAGTTCAAATATATACAAGTGGAACAAGTTACATAACAAAACAGACTTGCTTGAATAGCATCTAGGCCTACCCATGTACCCTTCACTAGGGCACTCTCGGTGAGATGCACATCATATGTATATATACAAGCAAGATTCACGACGCAATTCATATACACATTCACTTATATATTCTAGTTGGAAACTCTACTATCACAACTCATTATACATTCATTTATATGAATGGTAGTCATACCATTATCAAGTGAGGCTACTCTTTCTTCGATTTCTTTCCTAGCCTTCTTATGCTCTCTTCACCTGTGTTCAAAAGTAACGAAGTGAGACATATGCCTTAGTAACTCAGAGGTAACCCTAATTACTAGTTAGTAAGTAAAATCATAAACAAGCAATAAAGTAGCACGTGTTTCAATCAAAACAATATCATTTGCATATATGAAAACTCATTCTCATCAAACTCATTTTGCTCATGCAATGCATTCCTGGTTCCACCTAGTGAAATAATCTATATGCTCGAACTAAGACTTCCAGTCACATGAAATAGGGCCTACTTCCAGTCTCCTAAGTCAGTTATAACAAAGTTAAACTCTATGTTCTGGATCATCAAAACTTTTTAGCCTTATATAGAGTAGGACCATAACCCCTTACCCTAGTTTAGGACAGCCTCATAGCTCATTCCATATCCTAAGTCTGTTATGGCGAAGTCAAGTTCTATGCTCTGAATTATCAAGATTCTTCTCTTAGGTCCATCTTGGTAGAGTCAAGCTTTATACTCCAGATTATCATGACTTGCTGGACCTCCTTACAGTAAGATCACATCCCCCCACCGTAATCCAGGGTATTCTCACGAATGCGATGCATGTCAATGCATATGCAACCCTAAATTCATTTTAATCAATACTCACACACCCGCATGCATATACTTTCACAATACTACTACTCTATCAGTTTACAACACAATGCACGTAATTATATCAAAATACTTGCAAATAATTTCATAAACAAATAAGTAAAAGGGTTACTTCAATTATCTTTAACCCTTGCTACTAAAGGTTATCAATCACTTTAAGCTCTCAGGGGCATAGATTCTCACAAAAAATGCTACAGGTGTTCAATCTACACAATACAATGCCCCTCAGTCAATTCTCAACCTTTCACACAAACATTGATTCGGCTCAATCGAATCCCTTAACACGTAAAATAATTCAAATAAACCCTTTTGAATTTACTTATCCATTATTTATAATCACTAGTACTATAGGCTACTTAAACAACCATAATAATCTCCTAACACTTATTCAACCAAAATCTTGCCAATTAACCTAACTTTTATGCTATCTTGAGCCTAAGTTTTCAAAGCTTAACCATTCAACTTCATATTAGTCAAAAACCTTTAGTACTATATTCGATAGCCCATTTTAAACTGTTCTTTTAGATTATAATACCGTAGAACTTCATGATTCATTTTCTCAATCAATGAAATTCAACAAAAATGGGGTAGAAATGAAGATTGAGATTGTGCGATACTTACCTAACAAATTACTAATCGAAGCAGATTCCCAATAGTTAGATAAGGCTTGCCCTAGTAGAGATGTACTCCTCTTCCCTTTTAGATGCATTTCCAACAGTTTATCTTTTAATTTCACAAGTTGATCATATCAGCTTTAAATAATCCCTAGACAATACGCTGTGATGCACATAGCTTCCACCGCGGTGTGTGGCACAGTGAGTCCAATCTCATTTGTGCTTGTGCGTTATGCCTTAGATTGTCGTTCCATCCTTCAATCATATCAATACAATATCCAAACAATGCAAAACATTAGCTCAACACCCAAACCACAATCAATCTACTAATTACTAATTTATCTTTGATTAGCAACTAGTTCTTGGTATTTAAATTTAGGATGTTATATTAGGAAATTCATACTTTGATCTAGTCCAATTGTAACTCGAAGATTAATAAGATCAAACTTGATCCATAAGACTGTAAGACTGGCCCCAATAGTCTAGTACTCATTTAACTTTTTTTCTTTTTCTCTCTATGAGAGACAACAATTTATTTCACCTCGATAAACTCAATTAAAATAATAAAAATAAAAATACTTATAATCATAAAAAATCCATAACAATTTCCTATAACAAAAAAAATTTAATTACAATTCAAATGATCTAAATTCATAACTTTGACAATAACAACATTCAACAAACTTAAGCAACATGTCTAATATACATTATAACAACAATTTAGTGGCAAACTAAACTAAAATTATCTTAAATAGAAAGACAAAATGTAAATGGAGGAAACATTGTGTTCAAATATATTGGAGATAATTAAAATTATATTAAAATAATTTCATAAGACTGAATCAAGTGACCTGAGAGCTTAGTCTCTTATCTAGTCTAACTTGAGAAAGTAGTCTTGTCTTTTTTGTCTCTCTGGTACTTCAGATCAATTTTTTTATTGGACTAGACCAAATTGGGTTTATTTGAGTGGATTAAGTTAGATAGGATAACTAAACTTTTGCACAATGCTAAATGATATAGTAAAACTATTTATTAAAGCCTCTATAAAAAGTTATATCAATACTTATGAGAACAAAATTTTTATTTCAGTGTTGGCATATTTGATCTTATGTATTGTAGCACTTAAACATTTTAAGCCAATAGAATTCTCCCATAAAATTAGCTTTTGGTCAAGAGTCAAATATTTTTCAAATTTGAATGTGTAATAATTATTCTTATTATTATTCCACCACACTAGATGGATATTTGAAGAAAGGTGGGAATAAATGTTGGACGAAAAAACTCCTCCTCCTTGTTTGTTTCAAAATGAAACAAATGAATGTTTCCTAAAGGAAACAAATTAAATTGGGAGATTTATTTTAGAGTTAAGGTGCAATTTTACCTCTAAACTATTCTTAAAGAAGCAATATTTTTCCTAAATTATTTATCATATCAATGTTTCCTCTAAACTAATTAAATCAAAGTAATGTTGCCCCTACTATTTAAATGTCCATTAACTGTAACTAATGAGATCCACTTTTTATGAGTTAAGGTGCAATTTTATTTCTAGACTATTTTGAAAGAGCAATATCCCCCTTAAATTAATTAGATTGGATTAATATTGCCCTTCTGTTTAAAAATTATAAATGTCCATTAAATAAAGATAGATAATGAAAAGTACTTTTTGTACTAGTGCTGTTCCATCCACATCTTTTTTAACATCTAATACTCATGTAAAAGCATTTATCTCTATCATGATTTTCTTCACCAACATTCCAACGAGTCATGAGTTATATATTGAAAAGAAGTTCGATTTTTTCTACTAATTTTTTTCAATAACAAATATGACAATAGTTGAAGTATAAATTCACACTAACAGCACTAAAAGAGAAGCTCTTGATCCAATCAAGAACATATAAACAATATTATGTGGTCAAAAAGTCACTTCTTATCATTTTGAGTGGATCAGCATACAAAATTGACAACCATAAACAAATATACTCTCTCATATGTTTTATAAACAAAAAATCCTATACATAGATCATTATAAAGTGGTTACTCAAAAATTAATTTAGCAACTAGAACGTCATAGTTTAGTTGAAATCCTAACTTTACTCAATGTTAACTAGAGAGAGATAATAAAAAAGTGAGTCCTATTAGCTACAATTAATACATTTATGATTTTGTAAACTATGAGAGCAACATTGCTCTTTTAAGAATATTTTAGGGACAAAATTATACCTTAACCCATGAAAAGTGAGTTCTACTAGTTATAGTTAACAGATGCATAAATGGCTGGGGCAACATTACTCCATTAGTTTAGGGACAACACTACTATGATGAGTAGTTTTGGGGCAACATTGCTCCTCTAAAAATAGTTCAGAGGCAAAATTATACATTAGCCTTTTTATGTTATATGATGAGTTAATCATCAATTGACCATATTTTATCAACTTAAGGGGGAGAAAAGACTAGCTAGAAAATAAAATATATGAAATGCATTATCATTATCTTATTTATATTCTCTCAAATAGCAATGTGAACTAGAAGTTTATTAAATGCATTCATAAAATATTGCAAAATACCTGTCAAATGTAATTACTGACCAAAATGAGAATTATTAAATATTGTATTCCAACTAAAGTGCTCAAATGATTATAAAAGGAAATGAGACATGCTTGAGGCATGAAAAGTTACTCAGTTCCAAATATAAATGTCACACTTCGGCACTAAACGTATGACTGGCACAGAATCTGAGATAAATTCACATTCCATAAACCTTAATTATATGAAATTAAGCTAAAATATCAATGACTAATTTATATATATAATTGTAAGGTTCAAAAAAAATCTTAAATATTCTGTAAAAATTTTAGCAGATTTCTCCTTGTAATTCGAACCTCCCAAAATTTTTTTACCATAACAAAATCTATCAGCCAATACAGTAAAGGCGCTTAGCTCCATACTAGCAGATAATAAATCATCAAAACAAAACTAGGATTTGACTATGGTATGCATGGAGCACTAGATTATAATTACATCAAAATAACTAGAACATGCTTCCATTGTCCAAAATGTAATCTGCTCTTCAACGATCAACAGACAAGGTCATCGACAACATTTGAGACCAAAGAATTTTTCGATGAGTAGCATTCCAATCGAGATTATAAATTATAATTAATTAAAAATAAAATGTGACAGGTAGTAACTAATAAACTTAGTTTAAATAAAACAAGATAATAAGTGAAACTTACTTTAACAAACAATGAATAATGAGTTTGCTCAATAATATAACAATGAAACCAACAACAACATCAAAACCAAATAAATTTATCAAAATTTTTCTATTATATATATATAAAGATTTCAAATAATGCTGCAATTAAAAAAATCCTTTAAAGAAACAAATATAAAATGATAAGTTTTAAATCTAATATAGGAAAGCTTTATTAAAATGAATAATAAGGATGGACACACAGTCCACGAGGGCTATATCAACTTTAATTATTATTTATCAATAGCATAAATTATTAGTAAAATCAAGATCTCATCATTAATAAAATAATTATTATAGAAGTAGAATTGACAAGAATGTTTATATAACAAATAAAGAAATAGTATTAAAATTTAAGTAAAGAAATTTTGTAAACAATTATTAGAAATTCATTCGAAATGCTACCCATTCATTTGAAAGTTTGCAAAAGTTCTAAAATTTGCTTCTCTTACTTTACACTTTTATTCTAATGAAGTCCTTAATGTTTTGACAAATAAATTAAAATTTTAAAATTATTTATCAAATAATTTTTCAAGCACTTAATGGGCAGTCTAACAATATTAAAGATAATATTCTAACTAATTATGTTCCAGGTATATTTGGATTAGTTAAACTTTTGACAATTTCCAATTCATTCTCATAACTCTTTGTAACTTACTCTCAAATATAAGTCACAATATCTCATATCAACCATTCTCTTGCTTCCTTTAGATTTAATAACATATTTTGATATTTTTAAAATTTCAAAACTTACATATACTCCTTTGAGTAATATTCATAATTCATCTAAGCTCTAATATAACAATTTAACAATCTCATTTCCATCAATAAATTTTTCAAGGACATTTACAAGCATTATGAGAACATTTACCATTAAATCATGAGACAAACATTCGAGCAAATTCAATCATTTTCAACATTTAATTTCTTCATCAATTTTTAACTCAACATTAATAAAATAGAATTCAATGTTATCGAAAATAGCTTTTAAATTCTTCATTCAATTATTTTCACAACCATCTTGAGACATCCAACTTTAACTAACAATAATCATCTAGTCATTTAATTAACTTTCCACGTAAACGTTACCAACATTAAGCATAGTATCACAATAAAATTCCACAACATTAACCAATTCGGCTCCTTAATTCGCAAGCAAGTCACGGCAGCAACAAAAAAAGTAGAGGCAGAATTTTCGACCAAAACGAAAAAACAAAGAAGAAGAAGTTGAATTTATCATACCCAATCACACGACACCCACTAGCTGAATAGGAAGGAAGAGTGAAGAGGAAGATCAAGCAAACACACGAAGCCAACAGTTTATGAGGAAGGGCATATAGGAATCAAACGTACGCACCACCACGGTCGGCCACTAAGCAGAAAAGAAATAAAAGAATAGCAACCCAAGAAGGAATTCAGTGAATCCAACTCCCTCTCATCTACATGAATGCGATGGCAAGCAGAGAAATTGAAGAGCACTCACCTCAAGCTAACATGAAGCTAAAAACGATGGCAGGGGAAAAAGCATCAAGCAACCCATCCTTATTGTAACATATGAAATTAGGCAGAAAGAAGAACGGAGAGTTAGGCAACAGCAGCAAAGAGACGCAGCCGACAGTGAGCAAAGAAAATTGATGAGAAGAACTAGACAAGTGGAGCGATAATGAAGGAGCAGAGGAAAGTAATGGCGGTGAAGAGAACAAAAATGAAATGCTCTGTTTTTTCTTGAACCATGGATATAAATTCTGACCAAAAGAAGTATTTGCAAAAATTACAAGAAAGGACAGGGGAAAATCACAAGAAAAGGCACAAGAAAATTATACAAAGCACAATATTTTTATATAATTTAAAATCAAAATTTTGCTAAAAAAAAAAACTTGAACTTCGGATTTTTAAGAAATTTTATAACATAAGTTCTTCTAATTTATCATTTTTTACTTGTTAAAAGAACTTATTTAAATAAAATATCTATTGGAAGGAAAAAATTTATTCAATTTAAAAATTAAGGTCATTACAATAAATATATTAAAAAAAGGAGCATATAATTAAAATGATCATGCCAAGGAGATAAACACTTTAAAAGAGGGTTAAGACATAATTAATTATGAAAACCCTACAAGAGGTTAAGGTACCTAACAATAACAAAGAGATTTTAAAAAGGTTATGTCACAATTAGAAGAATGGAAGTGGAAACATAAAGTTATCGACAATTTTAATGATAATAATTTTGATGATAATATTATGTAATCAAATGATGATCTTACGCACAAGTATGTTATGAAAAGTATATGGAAAGATGATTGGCCAAAAAAAAAACAGAAAATTGATGTGAAAATCATGTCCAAACACTTGAAGTGTAAAATGATTGTGAATATTTGTGTAAAAATTATTATGAGATATATGAACATTTATGTGAAAATGGGAATTTTCACAATGTTCTAATAATGATCATGACCAAGTATGTTATTTTGTGGTAGATTTTTGTATATATCAATAGTCTGGTAGCATATGAAATTCAAATAATGCATCTATTGAATATTATTATAGCATATGCATATGACTCATTACATAGTAAAATTTACATGAGAATCCTTTAAGATAAAAAATGCCACAAGTATGACCAAGACAATTATTTATTGTGCTATGTGGATTAAAATAGTTAAGCATTTTGAGTATATATATGCATATGTATAATTAACTTAGCAGATATGCATTAATAAACAATGTATAATTTTGCATTTTACTTGACTTGCAAGTCAAATTATTGAATGTCTTGATGATTTCAAAATCATTATATTTTTATGAGAATTTTCTCTACCAAATGTATTGAATTTAATGGTATATAAGTACCATATATTTACTCTATGATAATATTTACATATTCTGTTAATGTTGCATTTGCTGTAGGATATGAATGAGTATTGAAATGAAGGATTTTTATAGTTCTATTGAAATCATTATATGAGATCATTTTGTTCTATTAACAAATTAAACTTGCAAAGATACAAAATATACCATGATAATTTTCAAAATAACTTTTTTGTTTTCTTGGGTGATCTCCACAGTGCGTAAGACTAGTAGAGTATACGTTGATAATTCAACATATCTATAAGATATGTTAAAAAAATATGTATGATGGAAATGCATTGTGCAACATCTACTCTTAGAAATTAGTATTTTCTATTGAGATACAATAACAAGAAGTGACGTTATTATGATAAAGAATTAAATTAATATCGTTATTAGGGGAATAAAGTATATACTGTACTCTTTTTTCTTTAACCAAAATTTTTTTAATTGGGTTTTCTTGGTAAATTTTTTAATGAGGTAGCTTTATTATATATTGTGTACTCTTTTTGCTTCAATAGGTTTTTGTCTCATTGGATTTTTTTCCAATAAAATTTTAACGACGCACAATATTTGTTTATGGACATCCAAGAGGGAGTGTTGTAAATATTTTAATATAATTGTAGATATCCATAGCCGTCGAAGAGTTGTTCTTTATTCTCCAATTAAAGCTAGATAACCTACAACATTGTAAACACTGTATTTTGTTCGGGCATATTTTATATTTAATAAAAATAATAATAAATTTGACTAAAAAATATAAAAATACAAAAATAAAATTTAATCCTTTTTAGGACTATATTTTCAAAATAAGAAAAAGAATATCTTTAATTAATTGGTTTAATTTTAGTTTAACCTAAATCTTATTTCTTTTAGTTCATTAAAAATAACAAAAATAATAATAATAAAAAAATAAAAAAAATAAAATTTAATTCTTTTTAGGACTATGTTTTCAAAATAAGAAAAAGAAGATCTTTAATTAATTGGTTTAATTTTATTTTAACCTAGATCTTATTTCTTTTAGTTCATTAAAAATAACAAAAAAAATAATAATAAAAAATAAAAAAATAAAAATTTAATTCTTTTTAATATTATATTTTTTAAAAATATAATAATCTAAAAAAATTAAAAAAATATATAACATTGCTTAAGTCTTTGAAAAATTCTCCCAAATTACCCCAATCATTCAAAATATTGGGAGTCAAATTTTGAGAATTGACTTTTCTCTCCCTAAATCTTATTTTTTATTTAAATGTGTGTGTGTGTGTGTTAATCTAATTAAAAAAATTAACAAAAAATAATAATAAAAATTTTAAAAAATATAAGGGCCGGATGAAATGTTGAGTCATTAGCGTTTCATCATAGCCTTAAAAGGGCTTTCCCTTTCAATGCCAGAATTGCGAGTACAGAGATGAAAGGAGAGGTGCACGGGAAAAATAGAGCAAAAGGAGCAAATGAAAAAAACACACAAGTCAGAGCAGCACACACACGAAAGCAAAGCGAAAAGGAAAAAAAATGAAGAAATAGAGCAGAGAGCAGACGGTGCACATAGAGAAGGCGAGTCACGCACGTGACCAAAGAGACCTAAAAGCAAAAAGCACACAAGGAAGCAACCCATGACAGAGATGCACACACACAACGGCTCAGCGGAAGAAAGGAAAAAAAAGGAAAAGGAGAGATGCACGTGATCAGGAAGAGTAGAATAGAGATGGCGGTCTGAGATGGAAGCATGTAATGGTAAGTAGTCATTTGCTCTCTATATATATAGCATGGGATCTGAGGCTTTTGAGGGGGGAAATTTTTGCAAAAGGAGCAAGGAATTAAAGGAAGGGATTTCTAGAGAACGAGAGAGATCAAAACATTTTACGTGAAAAAAGGGATTGAGAGCTTAAGAGTTCTGAATTTCGAAGAGAAAACTATGAAGGGGATCTAGGTTTTGGTTTTCTGAGAGAGACTGAGAGATTGAGAGGATCGGATTTCTAGATCGAAGAGAGGGATTTCTAATAGCGGATCGAGAGTTTGAAAGGAAATCATTTACATTTGAGATTGAGAGTGATCCAGCTAGAAGCAGAGGAGGCAACTGAAGACTGATCGAATCAAAGTTTAAAGGAGAAGAAGACATCATTCGGTATAGTCATTTTTTTATGATCATTACTGGTTTACTGCTGTATTAATAGGGATGAATTATGCGCTCTATTCACGTGATTGCCTTGCTTTGTGATGGATAAAATTAAGTCTTGGATTGTGTTTCTGATTCTGATTGAGGGTTATCTCATATATTAATAGTTGGTAAGTTGTTGAAGAACTTCTAAGATTTTGATTAAAGGATTACTCAGAATTGTCTTGTGATTTATAACCTTGAGCTAGTGTGTACTTGTATGTGTGATCTAGGAGAAATCATTTTTGAATTTTAAATGTTGTGTGTTTTGATTCTTATTGCAATATGTGGCCAGATACTAAACGTGGAGAAATCTTTAATGAAAATTTTGCTTATTGTCTTAATTGGCCTGGTATGATTTTGGATAATCTCATTATAGTGATGTCTCCAACAACGAAACTTAATGTGATTGTTAGATAGGGCTTTTGAATTAAACTTTAAATATGTTTTTAACATAAAAAGCATATTAATATGTAAGGGCATAATTTTTCATCTCTGTATTAGTCTTAAAGTCCTTTACTTGTTTATAATATTGTTACATTCATATCGTATGGCACTTTCTATCATGATTGTATGTACAATTTTAATTATTATGACGGGCTTATCTTATAAAAAGGTTGACAGGAGAGAGTTTTATTCTTATCCAATTAAAAAAAATGAAATGAATAAGAGAGGATTTTCTTTAATTATTTACTCGTCGTGTGAGATTTTAAGAATTTTCACAGGCATTTAAAATGATCATCTACGGTGTAATCAATAAAATTTTGCAAGTATGAATATCCAATTTATATATAATAAACAAGAGTTTTAATGGCCCACCATTAAAATTAACTCTCTTGTTTATAATCTAAATAATTTATTTAAGCCTCATGTGAGATTACAAGAATTTTCATATAGACTTAAGTTAATTACATCATCGTGTGAGATAATAAATCCTCACAGATGTCATAATTCTCAATTTCTATAATAAATAAATAATTTTTGTACATAATGATATAATTAAAAATTTTTAAAAATTAATTAATCAAATTATTTATTCATATTTACCGATTATATCTTTTAGTTATATAAAATTTTTGAATCTCTATAGACTCCTAAGATAATTATATTATCTTATGAGTCAATAAGACTCTGTAGTATAATGATTAATTTTTTAAAAAATATATATAAATTATATATTAAATCAATTAAATTAAAAATGTACTTAAATGTATATTATTTAATCTTTTATCATGTGAGATTTTAAAATCTCCATAGATATTTAAGATAATCATATTACCGTATAAGTTAATAGGGCTTTGCAGGTATGATGATTAAGATTTTTTTTTTAAAAAAAGTATATACGTACATACATGCTTAAAAATTATTATTATTATTACTTAAAAATATACATAAGAATATGAATAAATAAATTAAGTTGCTAAATTCTATTATTATGTGAGATTTTAGAATCTCCGCAGATATTTAGAACAACTACATTATCATATGAACCAATAAGGTTTTGCAGGTATGGCGGTTAAATTCTCGATCATAAAACATAAAAATAATAATTTTAAACCTTTTTCTTTTCTTTATTTTAGAATTTCAAAATTGAGAAAATAATTAAAATTAAATTACTTTTTCACAATATAAAACGCACATATCAAATTTTAGAAAAATTGTTTATTTGAAAA